GGTCCAGTCTGGGTCACACTGTAACCCCACAGTCCAGAGATCACTGGTCCAGTCTGGGTCACACTGTACCCCTACAGCCCAGAGACCACTGGTCCAGTCTGGGTCACACTGTACCCCTACAGCCCAGAGACCACTGGTCTAGTCTGGGTCACACTGTACCCCTACAGTCCAGAGACCACTGGTCTAGTCTGGGTCACACTGTACCCCCACAGTCCAGAGATCGCCGGTCCAGTCTGGACTGGGTCATATTCCACCGTGACAGTAGACTACTCCAGTGCTTTCCATTTAGCAGTAGCAGGTAACGGAGCGCCCCGCTGTGCGCAGCACCACTCCTCCACTGCCCCCTACGTCTGAGAGCAGGGCCAGCCCCCTCCTGCCCCGGTACAGATCAAGTCCACTAATTAAAACCCAACACTCAGCACCCCCCAAATAAAGAATCCACACTGCGTTAAATAAAAAAAAGACGACTTTATTGGAAAGAATGCGAAGGCATGACGCCACGCGTGACAGACCGACCGGAACACACGTGCCCGTGTGAGCAGAGACAACCCCGCGTCCTCACCACCCCCCCCTCCCCCCAGAAAAACCACAATCTCAACACGGGTTCGGAACCTATACAAAACAGAAAAAATATACACGTATTTATACTGAACGAACTTACCGAAAACAGGCAAATTTCCTCTTAAACCCCCCCAACCTGTACCACCCAGAAACCGGGGACCCCCAAGGGGCCGAGCGACTCTCTCTCGCCCACTACTCCCAGCAGCCAGCCCTGCCGCTCGGCAGGAAGTCCATGATTCTGCTCGGCCCGAGCCGGACGAGACCACCCCTACCGCCGCCTGTCTTCGGGAGCGTCTGCTTTCGGGGCGACGCCGGATAACGTCCGTCTCTCTCCCCCCACCCCACCCAAACCCACCCCCTCTCGCACGGGCCCTGCAGCCCCCGTCGTGTCCCGCCCGCGTCACCAGCGAAGACGACCCCCCACGTCTTAAAAAAAAAAAACGGGGGGCGAAACAGGGAGGGGGGGAGGGAGGGTGAAGACTGACGTCACTCGCACGAAATTTAAAAAAAAAACCTGCAAAAAAAAAAACCGTAGCAAGGCCTTGGAGAAGCTCAGTGGACCGCCCGCCCCCCCCACCCCGAGCCCCCTCAGTACCCCTCCACGGGGGGCTCCATCTTGTAGCCGTTCTCGTTGGAGAGGTACCCCTCGCCCGACTGCAGGGAGTCCTGGTCCATCAGCCCGTCCTGGCTGCCCTCCTCGGGCAGGGGCAGGGGCAGGTCCCCGCCG